TCCCCCCCAAGCTGGGCCACCAAGTTGCAAAGGTTGGGGCCTGCTGATGTAGAAGATCGCTTCTTGCCGCAGGTGAAGCGGAAAGTTTCATTTTTTAAGCAAATGGTTGCATCAAAGATTTATATTTGAATTTTTAAAAATTATAAGGCGAAGCATCGGCTTCACAGCAAACGGCAGTGCACTCCGCTGGATTTTTTTTTATCAGATCTTTGGAGCAGAAAAGTTGTTAGTTTACTCTTTCTACAGCTCCGTCACGTTTTTTCCCCTACTGCCAGAAAGTTAGAATTTTTGAAATGAGCTCTTCTGGATAACTGCACGAGAGCAAAATGGAACCCGTCCAAATTTGGCATTTCGAGAGAAGGGACCAACATTTTTTTTTAAAAAAAAAATGGTTTGGATGTTTATGGAGGGGAAAAAATACCTCTCCTTACAATGACTCTGGATGGGTGGGGCATTGAGTAGCAGCACCATTCTAGTTCCCCCGCTCCGGTCATGTGGCACAAAGAGGAGCATTTGCAGCCTTACCCTGTCCTAGTCCACATGCAACATGAGGAGCGGGAACAGAAATGCACCCCCCCACTCTGTTGAGGGATATCACAAAGGCTGTGTGTGTGAACAGTCAACAACCATCAATAAAATAAGAAATTGACCATAGAACATAGAATCAGTTTTCCACTTTGTCTCATTTCTATAAGGGCCGCCCAAAATTTGCCTATCGTGTGGGGTAAGTATCTGAAAGGGTAGTTTCACATCTGCCTTGGTGCTAGAACAGCAGGCACAATATATCATTTTTCCCCAAATATCTCAATGTTTCAGCCTGCCCAACTTTTATCTGGAGAGCAAACCTGCTGAACGAAGGGGATTTTGGACACTCCAAGAACAAAAGGGAGAACATTTATGTTTGGGCCTAAAAAGTTCTTTGATCTGAAAGTGAAGGGGCAATTCAGGTTTGCTGGTTTGGAGATGCATTGTGCAGTCCGCTCTTATTGGATTCTCTTGACTTTATTCTGGCAGTCCATGCGATCTATTTTTTATGAGCCCTCCGTTGCCTCCCAATTTTAGACAGCTTACATTTGCCTTTGAGATGAATCTGATTAGCCCGTTCTCATCTGTTAAGGGGGAAAAAAAAAAGTAGACACGTCAAAATACTTCCTTCTAATTTCTACAAAACATTGAATTGATGTTGAGCGAGGGCTTTATATTGCAGGGTGTTCAGAAGATGACAGATATCCCTTAATAACACCAGGGTTTTTCTTTTAACTCAAAAAGATTTCACCCCACCCAACTGGCTCCTTTTGAGAACGCTTCCGGCCACGATGGGGTAGATCCAGCTTGCCCTGGGAGCCTCCTGCTCAAAGCGATCCTCAGGCATGGAAAGAAGTGAGGGATTTTGGGCTGGGTCTCACTCATTGTCTCAATGATTCAATCTCAACCACCAGGCACAGGGCTACGGAGGGAACATTTGGAGTGTATGGTTGCTTTGAGCACCTGAAGGAAAGGTTGGGTTTAAATCCCAACAGAACAATTTTTTAAAAAAAAATTAAGAATGAACGAACAGTTGTCATTAATTTCATAGTAAATTGGGAGGCAGGCAACAATATATATTTCCTCCTCCGCTTTGCATAGCTCCATGGCGCCTTCCTTCACAGAAGTAAGGAGTTACTTCAATGCTCGTCACCATGTTTTCAGCAAGGTAGTTATATGCATTGGAAGGGAAGGATGCCGTTTCCCTCCTTGGGGAAATGGAAGAAGGCAACTTCACCTCCAACAAGCTTCTGCCCCATTTGATGCTGCTGGAAAGAGGCCGTGCAATCTAGGTGTATTTGCTGCAGGTGTCAAAAAGGGAGAATAAGGCCAAGATTCGGAGCCTCTAAAACGTGCTTTAGATCAGTGGTCACCAACCAGTGAGCTGGGGACCACTGGTGGTCTGTGAGAAAATTTTGGTGGTCTGCAGGGAAATGTTACCCCCAAAGCAATTAATGCAGGTTGTGTGGGAACACAAGGCTGCGCCGCCCACATGGCCCGTGGAAACAGGCTTGCATTGCGAACAGCACAAGGTAGTGAGGGGAGATGGAAAGGGCGGAGCGGGGAACTTGCTCCCCTCACCCCACACGCCATGCCTGGCCACTGGGCTGCTGCTTTCCGCTGCTTCTGCTTTTGGCTGCATGCAAGGAAAGCAGCAAAAGTCTTTTTTTCTCTTCCCCAAATTCTGCCAGAAATGAGTCTTTGGGACCCTGCAAGGCCACCTGCTCCAAGAGGTTGCGCCGACAAAGACTCATTTCTGGCAGAGTTTGGGGGAGAGAAAGAAAGACTTCTGCTGCTTTCCTTGCATGAAGCCAAAAGTCTCTCTCACGCTCTCCCCCTCCCATACAACGGACCGAGAATGGAGCTGAAGATCCCAAATAAAGAATGATCGATCGATAGGAAAACGGGGTGGGGGAATTTCCTGCAGACTTCTTTGGGGATTTTCCCAGGGTCTCTGATCCGCGGGGTTTAAAATTATGAATTGGATGGTCCCTGAGGTCCAAAAGGTTAGCGACCCCCTAATTTAGATGACCTCTGCAATGGGCGTTCAAACTTTTTTCTATCAGCACAGGGAGGGAGGGAGGAGCGAGCCCTTCAACAACAGCACCTGTATCCCCATCGTGGCAGTCAGGGAGGGGTCTCACTTCTGCAGGAGTGGATCGAAGAGCCCCCACTGGAACTCCAGCATGGCCTGAGGATTCAGCCGCTCTTTGGGTTTCCGGAAGCTATCTTTGGCCTTGCAGAGAGCAGCGAAGGCCTCAAGAGGAGCCGACTTGCCCGTGAACTTCTGGACCGGTTCTTCCCTGGAACAGCAAATAAGCCCCCTTAGCAAACCCAAGAGATCTTCAGATCTACCACGCTATACAGATGTACAAGAGGGGGGGAAAGGAGCCGTAGGTCCTTGGCAAAAGCCAACTTGGTTTCCCCCAGCAGGGATAGGAGGTGCCAGAATTGTCCTGAGAATCTGCATGCAACCATTGCCATATCTTGAGTTATAACTGGTGTCCTGGGATGTTATGCAGAGCAGGGGGGGGTTATGGTGGTGCAGGGGTTAGAATGCAGTATTGGCAGGCTGTCTACCCACTGCCAGGAGTTCGATGAGCTCAAGGTTGACTCATCATTCCAAGGTCGGTAAAATGACAACCCAGATTGTTGGGCGCAATATGCTGACTCTGTAAACCAGCCAGAGAGCACTATAAAGCACTGTGGAGCGGTATATAAATCTGAGTGCTACTGCTGGTTAGTTGTGATGGTGCAATGGTTAGAATGCAGTATTGCAGGCAAACTGCCACACAACTAGAAGTTCGATCCTGACCGGCTCAAGGTTGACTCTGCCTCCCATCCTTCCGAGGGGGGTCAAATGAGGACCCAGATTGTTGGGGGCAAGAGGCTGACTCTGTAAACCGCTTAGGGCTATAAAGCACTGTGAAGCGGTATAGAAGTCTAAGTGCTATTGCCTTTCTTTCTTTCTTTCTTTCTTTCTTTCTTTCTTTCTTTCTTTCTTTCTTTCTTTCTTTTTCTTTCTTTCTTTCTTTCTTTCTTTCTTCCTTTCCTTTCCTTTCCTTTCCTTTCCTTTCCTTTCCTTTCCTTTCCTTCCATGGTGCGCCTTAGTTAGAATGCAGTATTGCAGGCTAACTCTGCTGACTGCCAGCAGTTCAATCCTGACCAGCTCCAGATTGACTCAGCCTTCCCTCCTTCCGAGGTGGGTCAAATGAGGACCCAGATTGTTGGGGGCAAGAGACTGACTCTGTAAACCGCTTAGAGATGGCTGGAAAGTGGCATATAAGTGCTATTGCTATTGCTATTGTATGAGTGAAGCCTTTCACATTTAATGCTTAAACATAAAAAGGTCAGGCCTTCAATCCCATGATCAGGCCCAGAACTATGACCTTCTTGATGCTGCCCTTATAGATACCCTGGAAGAAACCACACAAGCTGATTCTGGCAGGAGGCTTTGCCATAATGAGGTTCGTTTGTCTTGCCTTCCCTCAGTGAATAATCCAGCTGATGGACAATGGCGAATCTCATCGCTTATCTATTCTTTTCTTACGTACTCAGCATCTTTTCTCAAAGTTACGCTGCAGCTGTGGAGTGTTTCTGTGTGACCTCAAAGAGGCGGCCTACTATGTTACTGACAAATGGTACCTGAGCCTTTCACGGCCCCACTTTCTGCTTCTAAATCCGATGCATATTTTAATTCAAGATGAAAGGAAGCATCGGCCGGGTGTATGCAAAACAGTCAAACCGTAGCGAGAACCCAACTCTTTGCATCTTGTTGGAACACACTGTGGAATCCATTGGGGAAATCCGTGTTGTTATATAGTGTTATTGTGTGAACCCAGACAAAACAGACCCTTCTAGCCTAAAGCACAGGATTCAAAAGTTGGAGGGTCTGGGGAGACCCACATTCAGATGCACCCAGGATGTGCTCTGCTTACCAACAAAACACCCCCCCGAGGCCCACTCTCGGCCAAGACAGATGGGCTAGTCAGCCTCTTAGCCCGCCAATCTCATGGGCGGCTGTGGTATGTGGGCCTTGAGTTCCCGGAGGAAAGATGGGACAGAAACCAAAAGGGGTGGGGAAATGACCCCCTCCCCCCCCTCCATTAAAGAAACATGGGCTCACAAGATGCGAAGGAACGGGTTGTAGAGGAACTCCTCTGCCAAAGTAGAAGGCACCGTTGGAAGGTCTTCATCTTCTCGCAGCTGTGAAAAAATGAGTCAGTGAGACCAGAGGTGGTACTTAGCAGGTTCTGTTCTGGAGACCCGGGAGCGGAAATTTTGAATGGTTTGGAGAACTGGCAAATCCTCTCTCTGACTGGCCCCACCAACCCCATCTCATCTCTGCCTCCCATTGAGTCCCAGCTGATCGGCTGGGTCTTCTTTGGTTGCCCTGCACAGGAGAAGGGAGCTGGAAAGCAGGTTAGTGGGGTGGGGAGGGAATGGGATCTTGCAGTATCCTTCCCCTGCTACGCCCACCAAGCCACACCACGCCCACTGAGCCATGCCCACAGAACTGGTAGTGAAAATGTTTGCATCCCACCACTGAGTGAGACCACGTCATGGCTGCCGTTCTGCTAGCTTCGCATCGCATCGCATCCTGCCAGCCTGACATTTGCAAGGGTGTGTGTGTGTGTGTGTGTGTGGAGGGGGAGAGAAGTTGGCTTGCAGGAGGACAAGGGGGGGAATTGGGGACCAATCCGTGCCAGTCCAAAAAGTGAAATACACCAATCCAGCACGAGGTCAACCAAAAGAATGCAGAGATGGAGAAGGCGTGAATTGAGGGTCATCTAAACAAGAGAACTCCTTAACTGGACAGTGACTGATAACGGGATGTGGGGGGGTGGCCACCAGGAAAGGGAAAGTTAATTGTATCCTATGCATACCAAACCAGCAGATTCTGCTTCACTGCTTCTGTAACTACTTTTGCTTTCAGTAACATATATTCTAGGAAACAAGGAGCCAGGATTTCTTTGCTAACTAACTTAAGTAATTTAAGTTACTTAAGTCCTTTGCTAACTATCTTAAGTTACTTAAGTTAGTTAGGTTCTTTGCTAACTATCTTAAGTTATTTAAGTTAGTTTCTTTGCTTAAAATACTTAAGTTAGTTTCTTTGCTTAAGTTACTTAAGTTAGTTTATTTGCTAAATTGGGGCGGATGACAGACCTTTTCCAATGTACCAAATATCCTTGTAGTTGACCCTGAAGAACTACAAAACGGTTAGGAGTTGAGTAGATCTACTCTTACCTCTGATCCAGCAAACTGGGTTATTTTCAAATACTTTGGATTTAAAAAAAAAAAAAAGCCAGCAAGCCAGCAACGGAAGCATAAAAGGGGCTTTCAATCATGTGGCCATCCCAAGTTGAGTTTTTTTAACCACCTACCCACCACAAATTCCACTGCCAGCAATCCAGGTTTGTATTCCATTGTTCAGTGGTTTAGAACGATGTGTTCTGTCACTGATGTTGGCTTATACCAAAAGCCATGATTTAAACAATCCAGAGCCTATCAGGACATTTGAAGCAATCACTAAGCTAGAGACTGATGTTATTGGTCATAATTCTGACTTTTATAAAGGGTCCATTTTACCTCTTGGCCCTCATTTTGGAAAGATTAAAAAATTGTGTCACGCCCCTGTCAAATCTGACCCAGAGGAGGAAGCCAAACAGCTGACAGGGAGAGAGAGTGTGGCTCCATTGGCTGAGGAAAAAACTGGGGAAGGGCAAAGTCTGGCTGGGCAGAGCAGGGGAGAGGTAGAGCAGGGGAGAGGGAGTTTAGAGGAAGACCCAGGTCCACCCACTCTTCATCCTAGGGCAGGCAGGGAGGAACGGAGAAGAGAGCAATGTGGGTTGTGTGGCTTACGGGGGAGGAAAGGGCCCTGATTCCCTTCATTAGCTGCAGCTGGGAACACAGTGTTTAAAAGAGGAAGCTGCGTGCAGCAAGCTCCCCCTCATGGCTTATCTGTGTTCCTGGCATCTTCCCAACTAGGTGAGTTTTGCCATGCTTTTAAGTGTGAAATTCCTTCTCCTGCCCTGTCAAGTTAATTATTTCAGCTTGGTTTGTTTGGATTTTTAGTTACAGTTTGTGTGTACCTTGTTTTGGACTGAATTTTCTACAGTTAAAGGCTGTTCCTGGGAGAGTTTTTCTCCAGCCGAAGGTAACCTGGACATTGTGGGCAAAGTTGGAGATAATAAAGGGACACTTCTTGCTTATTTGTCTATGTTGCCTTTGTGTCACACCCCTTTAGATCATCACAAATTGGGAGAACAGTATAGAACCACTCACTTTAGCCCAAATGAGCTTTTCTTTCACAAATTCATTCTCTGGTTCCACCTTTAAGGCAAACTTCAAATTCTGGGTTGTGTACTCATGTCCACAGAAGATTTTCTGAAAAGGAGAAAAAAAAAATCCACGTTAAGAGTGATTCACCTTGGAATCCCTTCCATCCACAAACTTCTTTGCTGTGATCTCCAAGGTCCCTAGTGACGGATTGTTAAAAACTGGAAATGTTTCTCGGATTCTTGAGGAAGCAAAGACACAAAAAGACAATGTGATTCATAAAATAAGTTTAACTTTTTTTAAATTAAGAACTGACCCTTTCCCAAATTCTCCCTCAATCTGGGAGATAAATAGCAATAGCACTTAGCCTTATATACCGCTTTACCGTGCTTTC